CCTCCCGCTTCCCGGCGCTCCCCCTCGGCCCGAGCGCACCCGGGCAGCCCTTTTCTACAGATCGACAGGGCCCGCCCGAGCCAGGCGGCCGGGTTAAGTGCTCCGATCCCCGGGGTCAAAGCCTGGGTTCGTGTCTCCTCCGCCACTTCCCAGCAAGTCACAGACTCTCTTATGCCTCAGTTTTCTCATCTGTAAAATGGGGGTGACGGTGATGTAGCACCTGCCCGTTGGATTCGGTGACCAAGAATAAGCATCTGTCCCAAGTCCTTCCCCTTTATGCCCCCTCCTGAAGGCCCAGTCCGGGGCTTGGAGGTGATGGTGCTGTGTGCGAGCTCTGTTCTCGTCCCTGACTGGCTGGGTGACCAACCTGGGCAAAACCTACGGGGCCTCAGCTTTGGAGGGAGACTGAGAAAGCAGATGACTGCTATGGTCTGAACGTGATTCATATGTTGAAGCCTCATCCCCCGTGAGATGGCGCAGGAGGTGGACCCTTGGGAGGGACCAGGACCTTGTGAATGGGATTCATGCCTTTATCAAAGAGGCCCCAGAGCGCTGCCCTGCCCCTTCCACCACACGAGGACACAGTGAGAGGGCATCACTGACCAGCCAGGCAGGCCCAGAGGGAGACCCTCCAGACACCCAAGCTGGCAGTGGCCTGAGCTCAGCCCTCCCAGCCTCCAGAACGGTGAGAGGTGAGTGCCTGCTGTTCGGCAGCTCACCAGGATGAGGTATGTTGTTCCGGCAGCCCGGATGGACTCAGACAGTGACTGACGTTATCCTGGTTGGATGGTCAGGGATTTGTCCGTGGATTTATCAAACGCTGTGCCAAGTGCTGAGCCAGAACAGGACAGATCCCCTGCCCTCGGGGAAGGTCAGTCTGGAGGGGAGAACAGGCCAGGGACAGATCAACAAGAGAACTCGCAACTGAGTGGGGATACTGCTGAGAAGGAAACAGATGTTGACACTGGGACCTGTGGGGGCCCACTGACAGCTGGTGGTCTAGGAAGGAATGAGAAACCTAGAAACAGGGGGAGGAGTTAGGTAAAAGAGGGTGTGTGCAGTACAGAGAAACTGAGCTCCAAGCAGAAGGAACAGCATGTGCAAAGACTCTGAGGCAGGATGAAGAGTAAAGAAATCAGGAGTGAGTGAAGAACTGAAGAAAGACACGTGTCGTGGTGAGGGCTCGAGCTCAGAGACCAGCCTGATCCATGGCCCCTCTCCCACTCCACGTGTGCTAATCAGCCTTCAGCAGAGAGAACCTGACCCAGGAGCTGGTCCATCTGGCTGTGTTACTATTGACCAGTTCCTGCCCGTCCCTGGATCTTCATTTGTTTATCACTAACTTGAGACCCATAACCCTCACCATAGTTCCATGTGCCACACAACCCAGAGGATACACTTTGTGGTGTCTCTTAGGCAACCAAAGAGACTCTTCTATACCTGCAGGTGATGATCTGGACAGTTAGGGTATCACCACTCCAGACGTGAATTCAAAAGACAACAGGTGATACTGGGTGCAGAGTTCTGCTGGGAGTGGGGGGATTCAGAACTTGAGGTTTTAGAGTCCAGGTAACCATGAGACAGAGCTGCCATGACAGCAAGTGTTCTGGGGTTGCAGGCAACAGACACTGGTTCTGATTTGAGTTAGGCAAAGAAAGAATGGGCGGAGGGTATCAGGCACTCACAGAATCTGTGAGGCTGGAGTCCTGGAAGTCACAGGAACAAGCAGGGGACTCCAGGGAACCCTCATCAGGAATGAACTGGAAAACTTTGAAGACTGATGGAATTATATAAAGACAAACACACCAAAGCAGAGTTTTTAGGCTAGGGATATTTCCAAGTGTGCTACAGTCATGAGGTAGATGCTGTGATTGCCCTCATTTTACAAATAGCAAGTGAGTCACAGAGGGCAATGCACCTGCCTGTGTCAGATGCTGATTTCAAACTGGACACAGCTCTCTAGTCTACAAGTCATGCAATTAACCACCGTGCTGTGAGGCCTGAATGAATCCCAAGCTTGCTTCCTGCCATGTCACTCATGGCTCAAAGCCTGAAAAGAGAGATTGTAACTGGCATGTGCCCAGGGCTCCAGTAAGACTGCACATGTCAGGAACAGTTGGTCACACGAGGGAAATTAGACCGCATGGGACGGAGATGGGGTGGGTACCAAGAGGCCTGTCGGCAACAAGTGCTACTGCAACTCACCCCTGGGCCCCTTGACATTCTTCTCACCCTTATTCTCAGGCACGCTCTTCCAAAACTACTCTTTACTGACGTGATATAGCGATTCCACACATAGCAAACAATGTGTGTGCATACGCACACACACCTGTGTGGTGTGGTTTGTACCCATGCTACCTGTGACCCCATGGAGGTTGACCTTTCCAAGTCTTAGATTCATCCTTTGTCAAAGAGTGAGAATCCGTCTTCCTCATGGGACAGTGGTGGAGGTGAAGAGAGTTCATGAATGTAAAATGTGTGGAATCAATATACCACACATACAACAGTGTTGTTGTGTTAGGGGCCGGTGGCTGCAAATTCACCCTCTGAACACACAGGCTTCACTGTTGGCTGGGACTTGGTTCCTCTCGTAGGGACTTCCCAGAGGATTTTCCAAAGACTGGCTCTTTCACATCCTCTTTGTCTGGCAACTGAATAACTAAATCATGTTCCAATAGCTACACGAGATCTTGAGAAGTAACAGCATCTATCACTGGTCTTACACATATGGTGGAAGGGGAAGCTGAGGAGATGGGCTGTGTTTTAAATTCCCTGGGGAGCCTTGAATAGCATCTGCCCCTCCTGGGGTAACTGCAGTCTCAGCATAAAATGGAGGTTGTATTCTCTCCTCGTGAGGTTGTTGTGAGAATCTAGCGAGTTAATGCACTGAAGGGGCTTAACACAGTGCCTGGCATAGAACAGGTTCTTGCAGATGGCAGCTCTGTCTACGATTTTGAGATTCCCCAGCCCCAGGTGTCAGGACAGCTCACCAGGGACAGGTCCACTGGAGGGAAGGGAGTTTCCTAATCTAAGCAGAATGACATGGGATTCAAAGTTTATTCATTCATTCGTCGTGTGGAATTGTTGTACCATGTCAGTAGAAGGTAGTTTTGGAAGAACAAAATATTTATTTGCTCCTACTATAAGGATGCCAAATGCTTGGCACGCATGTGTATACTCATACCTCCCCTACTCACAATAGGCATCGCTAATCCATCGTGGAACTTTCTGCTGACCTCACAATCCTCCTCAACACAAGGTGCAGTCAGTTGGCCCCAGTCAATGCAAGTTGACTTGGAGACCATGCTTCCTGGCCACGTGAGGTCCGCCATGGACAAGGCAAGCTGGTGTTGAAGAAGACAAAGGCTTCAGAGCAGAAGACTTGGGTCTGCATCTTGTCCCAAAGCTCCTCGAAACCTCATGGGAACACGGCACTGAGGCAGTATGTCAGCCATGGTGTGCACCTCTTGGATCTTCCCTAAAGAGTGCCAGGAGCATGCCTGTGGGCTGCGGATGTCCTCAGGCCCTACTTCAGCATTTGAACTGAGGCTGCAAGCTTCCCAGGCAGTCTCCTGCTGAGCCCAGTCACAAGGGCTCACCTTTTCCTGACGTGGGACTCTTCTATGAACAGCCTAGGTCTTGTCAGGCTGGCCAAGACCTTCTCAGAGCTGCGCCACAGTCAGAAGTTCTTTCCACCCAATCCTCCCTCCTTCTCCATCCCCTTCCACACACGTCAGACCCACATCAGCATCCCCTGGCTCCCTTGCTCTTCTTGCCCCCTCTCCACTTTGACCCTCTCAGGCATTACCCCCAGGAGTCTCCTGCACTCCTGATCTTGTCTTTGGCATCTCTTTCTCAGAGGACACAGGTGACGTCAGCACTGAGCTGCAGAAGACTGGGTCGGGAAGGAGTGGTGCTCCTCTTCTTTGATGGGGAGGATGGGAGCAGCACAGAGGTTATCTGAGTGCTGGAGGCAGAGAGTGATCTCAAACAGGAGACTGGAGAGCACAGTTGCATAGCCCATAACCATGGCCTCCCCCTACATGAAATTGGCCTTCCCCATCACAGACTCTTGGGTGCAAGTGACAGACATTCAACTCAACTGTTAAGGATCTCGTAAATGAGAAGTGGTGCCAGAGCTCTGTCATCATTCTTCTAATGGCTTCTTCCCCATGACCAGGGAAGACGGCCTCCAGGTCTACATGGTCTCAGCAGCATACCTAGGATAAAGATAGCATCGTTCTCCTGATGGAAACAGTAATTCCAAGGAAGACCCTATTGGCCTTGCTAGGGTCACATGTTCATCCCTGAACCAATGACTGTGGCCAGGGTAATGAGGATATTCTGATTGACTGGAATAGATCCCGTGTCCACCCCGGGTGGGAGCCGGTCATGGTGGCTCTGCCAGGGCTGCGTAGTGCTGGCAGAAGTTCTCTCAAGCAACCAGAAGTGGTGGGCGATGAGAACACAAGTTAAACCAACAAAAGCTCTGGTGACCATTACCTATGTATGTCATAAGCACTGAAAAGAAAAAAGACAGAAAAGACAGGTTCATTCTTCAATGACTTCCCACCCCCCCTTTTTTCCCCAGAGGAAAATATGATATTTAAATGAGACTCCTTATGAGGTCCCAGGGTGGGAGTCAGAGAGGTCCTCTGGGTACAGAGTTACGTCAGACATGGTGTCGCCCTTTCCTGGGATGCCCACAGTCTGGTGGGAGGAATGAGATGG